AAAAATATCATCAATATATCGGAAATACAATCCACCACTATTATTTATTTGTCTTATAATTTGTTGTTCATAAAAGAACATATAACAATTATCAATAGTTAGTGTAAGAGGAGAACCCATTGCTCCTCCACGAATTTGATGATAATATTGACCATTATAAGAAAAATAATTATTTTGCATAACAAATCGACTTAATCTAATAATTGTTTCAATTTTAAGACCACTAACTTGTTTTAATTTCAAATGGTCTAACATTTTCTTTAATGAAAGCACTCCTTCAGTTTGAGGTACCATTGTATAAAGGTCTGCTACGTCAATTGTACAAAATAAAGTTTCTTGACGCATATTATCCTTGGACCAATTTTGCAACTGTTTAACTAATTCAAAGCCAGAAGTTACAGTTGATTTTAAAGCCATTTTATCAAATAAAGGTCGAAGTAATTCGTCAAGGAATTTTGAAATTTTTACTGTTGGATGCTTGAGACGAGATATAATTGGACGAAGAGGAGTACCAGGTTTGTGTGCCTTAGGCAAATAATATAAATGGGCAAGTTCGACTTCATTCGAATTAATACATAATTTTTCATATTGTTTTTGAGTAATCCATTTGGCTAAGCGTAAATCTAATGGATATTTATTAGTACGACGAATCAAATCAGGTAATGGGTCTTCAGTACCTAAACATTTGTAGGCTTTTGTTTTATCCATATATTCTTCTGATTTTTTATGATAATTTTCAAGTTTGCCTAAATGGAATACTTTATTCTTATCAGATTTTTGGAGAACAATATTCTTTAAATGAAGCTTATGTTTTAAACGTTTAATTAATCGTCCATAGTTTTTCTTCTTTTTAATTGTCATTTGAGAATTTAAATTTTGGGATTGACTTGATTCTATAGTGGAAACCAAATTATCATATATAATATTTTGTGTATTGTTTTGTATTGATATAGTTTTTAATTTTTGATAATTAACCGGGGTATTATGTAATTTGTGAAGCAAAATATCTAATTCGGCAATAAATTGTTCAACAGGACGACCGGGGCTAACTTTCTCTTCAAAGAAACGAGCTTCAATTTTTCGTTTAAGAGTAGCCAACTCAGTGATACGTCGTCGAGATGCCGTTTTTGGATCATTGTAAATAAACCGAGGACCTAATTTTAGTAATTCATATTCATCCTCGGTTAATTGAACTTGTGCTTCATTAATTACATTTGGAGCGAGAATTCCTCGCCTAATGATCGTACTAGAGTCGGGGCAATAATTTCTTCTTGTTCGTTTGTCTCGCCCTCGACTCGTTGTTCGGATAAAAAATACATTGATTGTTCAATTTCTAAATTCAGTCGTTTCATACGTAAATCATGGTATTGTTTAAATGCAGCAAAACTAATTTCGTCTTCGTTAGTATTTTGTGAGAAACTTTCGACAATTCGATTAATTTCAATTGTTAACAATTCTTTTTCACGAGCAGCTCCTTGTTTATATTTAGTCATTGCTTCTATACGAAAATTTTTTGTTAAACGACGCATTTCATCATATAGAGCTTGTGATTCTTGTTGTCCTAATATTGATTCATCAATTTTAAATGTAAAATCAATTTTTGATATAAATTTCGAAGGTAAATAATATTCTATACGTTTTAATATAGTTTGATGATTTTTGTTTTTTGTTGTCCATAATTTTATCTTTGGTTTTATTATTAAATGAACATTCCAATGTTGAGCTGTAGCTATTTGTTCAAAATCTTCTAAAGCTTTGAATTCTTTCATTTGAACATTAGCTAATTGAAGCCGAATTTGAGCCCCCTTTTTAACATGTTCAGTACATTTATAAATATAATCCAATATACACTTTTCAATACGTTCAACAGGCTCACGAATTTGATTTTTAAAAATCGTTGAATCTTTATTCGTAGTTGGTGCTATTGTTGTTGCTGGTGTTGCAGTAGTAGTAGTACCTTGTTCGGTCACTACTGTAATTGGTATTGTTATTGTAGGACTTGTTGCTGGTTCAGCTCCTTTTTCAATTGATGATTTCTTACTTTTATTTATTTTGTCAATTACCATATTTGTTGTAGCTTCAGCTGTTGTCTTAACTAATCTTTGTACCAATCCTTCGGTATTTGTCTGCATCCAATATGTTGATAATTGAATTTGTAAGTCTGTAATAGTAGTAGTTACTTTAGAAATATTGTTCATTAGTCGATTAATTTTCTTTTGAACAAATTGAGTATTTCTTATATTATCTCGAGTTTTCGTTCGTTGAACGACTTCTTTAGCCCAATGTTTCTGTTCTGTACCCATTTTTAAATATGCTTGCCAGACTTGTAATTCGTAATTATCTCGAATCCATTCATCATAAATTGGAGCTGTGGCTAATAAATATACTTGATTACCACGACTACTTAAAGGATTTTTTGAATTTTTTGTACAATTTTCTTCGAACCATTTCAACATTCGATTTGGTTCAAGATATCGTTGAGTCTTTTTATCTTTTTCTTTATTTTTTTCTTTATTTTTCTTATTTGTGTTAATTTGTATAACTTCTTCTTCATTATCAGTTAAATCAATTTCAATTGGATCATCATTATTATTATCAGCTGATACAGCAAATCGATTATTATTAACAACCTTATTTTGACGATATTGTTGTTGCCGATTTCGACGTTGACGACGTCTAAATGCTGCTGTAGTAGTTGCTTGTTGTTGTTGTCGTTGATTTTGCTGTAATTGTTGCTGATTTTGATCGTTTTGATTAACTGTAAATGGTTGTGTTGTATTATTATTAGCTGATGCAAAAATTTCACGTTGTGGTAATGCATCAGAAGGAATATTTGCAGCCAAATTAAAATCAGAAGGAAGATTTGGTGTATCTGGTGAAGGATCGCGTAATTGTGGTGGCATAAAATCATTTAATTTTAATTGCCTTGGCCCACGTTGACGTTGTTGTTGCTGTCTTATTTGACTCCCTCTTTGTGGATTTGAACGACTTCTTCGTTGTTGGTTTGAAAGGCTTGTTCGTCGTTGATTTGAACGACTTCTTGAACGATTTTGATTCATTCTTCTTTGATAAAAACTTTCCTGTTGTATTAGTGGTGGTCGATAATTTCCATTGTAAAAAATATTTCGTCGATAAAAATTTCGTCGATAAAAATTTCGAGGATAAAAACTAGGGTGTGGGTGGGTGTGGGTGTGTGGGTGTGGGTGTGGGTGTGGGTGGGTGTGGGTGTGTATCAAAGAATTATAACTACTACTATAGTTTCGACCTTTCTCAAGGGTCAGAAATCATCAGGTAGTTTTTTGACACTGCATAAATTTTCAACAAATTTTCAAAGACTTGAAAGAAGAGACGAACTCTCCCCAAATTCAAATGAAATTTGGGGGTGTGGGTGTGTAATAGTTACCACAATACAAATTGTATTTCATTTCAACTGATAAAAAATTATCAAGTGGCAAGTATCTGTTATAGAATGATCTGAATTAAGAAAATTTAAATCAAAAACAAGATACGAATTCGAAATTCGAAAAGAATCTCGATAAAACACCTTGAAGGGGTGTATAATAGTTACCACAATACAAATTGTATTTCATTTCAACTGATAAAAAATTATCAAGTGGCATGTATCTGTTATAAAATGATTCAAATTAGTTCAGGGGAAAAAGTCATATGATTATCAGGAGATAGGAACTGATTTGCATATTTGTATATAAAAATTGGGTAAATATACTAAAAGAAAATTAATGATGCTGATAATACTTCTTCAAATATATGTCTACAGCTACATATGTTTACATAATAAATACAAAAAAACAAGTTTATAATAGAATGTCTTTATCAGTAATGAAAAATGTCCTAATTGAATAAATTTTATTGCTGTTGTTGTTGCTGCTGTTGAACTTGTTCGTGAACGATCTGCTCCTGTTTCGAAAAATTACATAAAGAACGATTTATTCAAATAGTTTATAAATAGAATATATTTTTCAGGATCAAAAGTACTTTAATATTCGATCACTAGTTTTTAGATCAGATGAATTTCCTACCTATATCTTATCATTTTTTGTCAGTTTTTTGGCAGGTGATGACTTGATTGTTTTTGTTGTATTGATGCCGTTGGTCCATGAGGATTGACGGTAGGGAGCACGCATCAATGCAGCACGTTTCATAACGACCTTGAACAGCTTCGTTTGTACTTGATGAACCATTATATATGTTGAACGATACAAATATAGAATTGTATGTGTTTATCACGTACTAATTTTATCAAATGATTGTGTCGACTTATAAATTTATTTCTCCTTTGTTTTTTTTTCTTCTTTTTCTTATAATTTCTTTTCGGATTTTTAATATCTAAAATAAAGGTGATTATATAAATATTGAAAGGCTAAATATCGACCGCAAAAAATATTAAACAAAAAAAAAACTAGGTATTTTCAGCATTTTTCTTCGAATTAGAAGAACAGAACGGACGAATATACGTCTGGCTTAGGAATTTTCTCAGTGTTAAGTTAATGTTATAGAATTTTTCCTTTGACAATGCCGTTTGTCTCTGTATAGTATAGCTTTAAAGTGAGCGAAATAGATGTCACGCATATTGTATGCTGTGGAGATGAATTTGGATAGGTTTGTGCGTGAAAATATAAGTTTTGCTTGCTATTGTGATTAGTTTTCGCTTGTATTGAGTATGAATATGGTTTTTTCGGTGAAGAAATCGGGTATTTGTTTTTGAAGTTGTTGTATAGTTTAAAGTTTCTGAAACGATATGTGGCGTTGACGGTCGTACCTCTTGGTTTGTAGAATAGATAAGGTAAATGAATAGAACATTGGCTCTATTGTGAGTAAAGTATTTTCGATTATCTTGGTTGTGTTTGCCAATTTTTATGTATTTGAATTTTTGTTAGTCGTTGATAAGTTAAAAATTATCGGATAATATGGATTTGCAGTTGAAGTGGACACGATGTGAACAACAGTAGAAAAGATTTGTTTGAGTCTGATATGTATCTGAAATAAAAGAAAGTAATAACTAGATGAGTGTTAGTGCGGATTGGGAAGACGTATTTTATAATAATGAAAAGCAAAACGAACACTACTTGGATTTCAACTAATCGATGAACAAGAGCAATATATTGAGTTAGTCAGTTAAAAATGAGAAAAAGAAATAGTTTTTAATGAGAGGATGTATTGATAAATAGCATAATTTGTTCAGCTCGTTGTTTAATATTATGTAGACGAGCTTCAATAATGTTGCGCATGGAACTAAGAAATGGTTGAAGAAGAGTTGTTGAAACATTTTGATCAAGATGACTAGTAGTATTGCAGTCGAATCCAAACGTGTTTCTGTGTTCTATAGCGCTATTCTCGTGTATCATTCCTGGATTTGAAGTTTGTTTGGTCAATAATAAAGAATTCTTTTTTAGAGTAATTGCTCGTTGGTATGATTTACCAGTTATTCGCCAGTTTCTGAACAGAACGTATCCAGAATAAATAAGCTGAGTAAAAATAATGTCATAAATATTGTTCAAAACCTGTTCGTCATTTGGATTACATTCGTAGAATGATTTGACCAGAAAGACTTCATTGATGTCGAACTTTATCATAATTTTCTTGTGTTCAAAATAATTCAGGCATTTTTCTAAATCTCTCTTGACGAGAATACTAAGAGCATGATCAATGATATTCATTGATTCGTCAAGAGACTTTTTCTTTTGTTTTACTGCACAAGGAGGACTTTGTTGTAAATGAACCTTCAAATTAGTTTCTGCTTGTTGTAATTTATTATCAATCAGTCTTTGTCGATGCCTTATGTTGTGTTCCGTTCGAGGATAATCCCAATTAATGAAATTTCGTTTCGTTATATCTTTAGATGTTTGAGATAACCATCTGACAGTAGGCATTGCTACATCGGCACCATGTTTCCAATAATCTTCTTCAATTTTTAATTCTGATAAAGTACACATGAGTAGAGCACGATGTCGAATAAAATGTAATATTGCAGTATTATTCGTTAATAATTGCCGAATCATTGCACACTGACTAGGAATACTTTTTGATAGTCGATGTATGAATATTTTGTTAGGCATTTTTCTATAATTTGGTAGAGTCCGTGATGAATTCTTCCAATTATCAATAGATAAATGACGCTTGCTCATATTCGTATGATGCATGCTATTATTTGAGAAACGCCATGGTTTT